ATTTAATTTATTCCACGAGAAAGGTCGGCGGAAATAAAAACTCGCAGTTCGAAGTAAAGGGGAAAATGAGAAACATAGCTTACACGCTACATAAAAATAAAATATACATAGATATACAAGATATACAAGTTCATATCACCTCGGGGCATCTCCAGACCCTGACTAGAGGGAGGGAGAGGATGAAATAATTAAGTTTAATATTAATGATTGATAACAAAGAACACCGACATACTTCGCACGATGGGTGGACCATAGCTGTAGATGAGATGTCCAGAAGGTAGGATATAGAGGGAAATTTAATGTATATCTGTAAGCAAAAATTAATCATTGCTAATGAAAAACGATTCTGAACAAAAAACTTGATTAATAGTTTTCCTCAGACTCTACTAAACATTTTTTTTGGTCTAACAATTTTATCCACAGCATTCCTACCGAGTAAAAATTACGTACAAAGCTAGTAAAATTTAAATGTCTATAAATAGCTCTAATATTTTACCACACTGGGATAAAGGCAAAATAAGGCAAATATAAGTTTTCTGTCCAAATTTTAAATCTCTACGGATATTTTTCACTGAATTACAACAAAAAACAAAATTTAAAATAATAAAAGCAATATTTTCATAAATTTTATTGTTTATCTTATGTTTTATCCTGGGTTTTCCTGATATTATGAAAAGTAATTTAGTTTTATTAACAAAATTAGAAGCCTGTGTTCCTGATAATGAAATATAAATTAATGTTTCACGGATTTCTTCATAATTAAGTGACAATGCCTTTGTCACATCACTACGCGCGGACCATATTATTTCAGATAAACATTGTACTACAAAAACTAACTCCTTCATATTTTTTAACATAATAGACCATCTTTAAGGTGAGGCTGATAAAAATGTATAAATTAACTGAATCACGCTAAGAAAATTTAATAGCTTCAGTACAACATTCAACAGGAACAGATCCTACTAAGTATAAATTATCTACAGCACAGAGTACCCACCCGGCTAACTTATTTACTTCACGAAAACAAGCTTGAACACTCGAGTATTATATTCCACTCATATTACTTGCATTATCGTAAGCCTGAGAACGGAAATTTGATATGTCAATATTGTTATTGCCAGCGAAACGAATAATTTTCGTTAACTGGTCAATGTGCGCTATATCGGGGGTCGAATTAATACTAATACCAAAATATATTGTTTCTTTTATTTCAGAAACAATTTTTAAATTTAGGATAAATTTAGGGCAAGAATGTCTATAAACTCGTTGTATATTGTAAATGATATATATGATACTTTTCTTTTGCCAGGATTCCGAACTTTTTTATATGCTCTTCAAGAAAAACATCGAAAATAAAAAGAAGTTCAAGGCAACCTAAATAGTTGCTACTTTTTGTACAGATAAATACTTCCGAATCTTCTCTAAACGCTAACTCTTTAGAAGATAAAACTTAATTACCACTATAAATCGTTTTAAAATTTAAATCCAATGCATTTTTTTTGTTATTAAATTTAGTTGTTTATTCCACATCTAATTTTTTTGAAGGTCTACAATTTTTTTTATTTAGTTAATATAGTTTTTAGAGTTTTCATGAGCTTCCGTTCTAAAATTCATACTTTTCCAACCAATCATCAAAACAACTTTCAAATTGATGCACAGGTGTTAATTTCTCACCAATTTGTAAATGACGAAAAATGCAATACACTAATCCAGTGGATGGTGAATATATCAACCAGTCTCGATTTACAAACTCATAATTTCGTAATGCTCGTGAAAAATATTTTTTTCTGAAATATCTTTATAATGTATCAAAGTGTATAGCAAATACAGTTAAATCAACATCCACATATTGAATAGGAATATATCCAAAAAAAATAAAAATTCGATCAGAGTTAATTTCCCAATGTATTCAATTTTCAAGAATATGGTCAAATTAAAATTATTTTAGTCAAACTACACTTGGGTCTAAAAAAGATAATGGTCGAATCGCACTTGGGTAAAAAGTAGATTACGGTCGAACTGCACTCGGATAAAAAGCAGGCAGCAGTCAAACTGCACTCGCGTTCTAAAAAGTTTTTCGACAAAATATCATAAATTTTTTTTTTAATATTAGATTTTTTATTAGATATCTATTTTTAGTAATAAAAGTTATGACAACAAAAAAAAAAAATGTTACAAAATGGTACAAATGTTAAACAAAAAATGAAGAGATAAAGTAATCATGTATTTAAAAGGGTTTTAAAACGTTTTGTTTAATTGTTAATTATTGTTTTATAGTAATCATAACAAACTGAATTCAATAACTCTAATCGGGTCATTAATTTTTGAGAATATAAGTCAATATATTTTTCGATTTCATTAATTTTTTTCTGGTACCATGTAGTTGAAGGTCTTGTGTCAGTATTCTGTATTATAATTTATGTATATATTTGTGTTGTGTTAAAACATCGATAAATACTAAATACATATATATTTGGATGTGATGACGAAAATAATTTATTAAATTTTGAGTGGAAAGACTTGCATGCATTAATAGTCCTTTAGCTGGAAATCGTATCTGAAGCCCTAATACGAGGCGGAAAATGTGCATCGTTGGAAATATAATAATCTACTAAATAGTTACTAAATTCTTTTCTTCTATATATACTACTATATCTACCTATATTTCGTATATTTTCCGACATTCTCTCCTATCAATTTATAATGATTTACCAGTATCTGGTTACTGACTAATATTTGTACTTTGTAGTATGAGTAAATTACTGGAAAAAATTGTTTTACGACAGTCTTAATTAATATGCAGATAAAAAAAAAATTACAAGCATCATTTCTACACGGATTTAGGAAAAATCATTCAACTTCTGACTTTAATGAAAAATCGAATCAGAAATCTTTGATACGTTTGCTAATAAACAGATTATGAATCTAATTAGCTAAGACTTACAAAAAGCATATGATACAATTTGGTGCTACAGAGTAATTTGAGAGACTTACTGCTAAAACATCCATCGTAATATGATAAAATATCAACCAGACATCCTAAGCTAAAGGTTATTTCAAAAAAAAAAATTAGAGATTACACATCCAGTACATTTACTTTGGAGAATGGAGTACTCCAAGGCTTCCCTATTTTTATTCTTAACCGGAATCATTAATATATCTAACGTTATAGGTGACCCAATCAAATCAATTATCTTTGCTGATTATTCACACATTTACATTCGAGGAAAATCGATTTCTTCAATGACTAAATTACTCCAAAACTGCCAAAATGATCTATCAGTATGGTGCTTTAGTACAAGTTTTATTTTCTTTCTACAAAAAACAAAATTCATTATTTTTTCCAATAAAAGAAATTTAACAAAATCAAAATATTTTTAGGTAAAACCATTTGTTTAACTTATGCTGATAATATCATAATTCTTTGATTTTAACTTCGATTTAAAATTAACTCTCATATTTTGAAAAAGAAAAACACTGTTTGCAAAAACATTAAAGTAATCAAAATTCTAAGTCATTTAGAATTTAGTGCTCTACTTTATTAAATTTATATATATCTTTAGTTAGATTAAAACTTGACTATAGTTCAATCTAATATGGTAACTCACACCCAAATATTTCCAAAATCCTAGACCTAGTCCATAACGCTGAAATAAGATGTTCAATCAGAGTCTTTAGAAATAGCCCTATTGCCAGTTTTCTGTGCGTTACTGGTGACCCTCTACTCCAACACTTCAACACTGTAGAATGAAGGTTTCACTGATAATTCAGCTATCTTCTATATAAATAAGAAGCATACTACGCTTATCTCAAACACCAACCTCAGAAAACCATTAAGTTAAGACTACTGAAAGAAATGTTAAACATCAATATCACCCCGGGCACAATTATCTAACATGAAACAAATCGGATACCACCGTGAATAACACCTAATTATGAAATCAACACCAGCCTTTGACTCCACTTAAAACATGAAACACCTGCACCTGTATAGAGATTTAGTAAACGAACTAATACACACTGCCAATCCTAGTGTCTAAATCTATACTGACGCATCCAAAATCCAAATCGGCATAGGGCTAGCAGTTGTATATTCAGACGAGAGATTACAATCCCGGATACCAGATTCCGGGAACCCGACTACTTTTAGGTGGGACCAGTATAAATAATCCCGGGATTCCCGGGACGATGTAACAGTAACTCTATAATTTAAGTCCCCGGCTATTAATGCTTATCAACGTATTTGTAAGATAAGATTATATTATATTATGACTTATGAGTTATATTTACGACCAATCAGTATACGACAAATATTTAGTATACGCTATTTTCTGAATACATTCAACACATAGCACTACGAATCACGACTTACGGGTCTTATTTTGAATACTTAACCGTGTTAATACTTTTATTATAAAATGTTACGCGGTAGTATTTTTATTAAACACAAAAATACATCGTCGGCGTGGAGTCATTTTCTAATCGCAAACGATGGAAAAAAAAGTGCGCGATGTAAACGATATTTAGCCATATTGAAGACCTTGGGAGAATCAACATAAGGTTCATATCCTCATTTGTCATCAAAACAAAATTTTAAGGTGTTATCGGAAAACAATTGTTCATTAACTGAGCATGGACACGGAGAATCATAAGACGAAAATTTCACACCACCACCAGCTAAACGAAAGTTAGGTGAATATTTTATAAAGAGTGATACAATAGATCATGTTTTGATTTGAATGACTTTGGATGGTTTCCCATTTATTTTTTTTATAACTTCTAATGGTTTAAGACAGTAATTAATATCTAATGGTTACTCTGATTTACCAAAATCAGCCGTAACAACTCGAAATCAGTACGCGTTTGACCACTGACCATGAAACATGCATATTGCTTATCACGAGTGTTCATTTATAGCTTATGATTCAAGCTAGCAATTCAAAGTTGAACAGATAAACACAGGCAATATGAATCTCGTATAAACACCTCCGTATCGCACTATGAACAACGTAATTAAAACGGGCAAATTGCCCAAACCTTTTGTCATTAGTAAACCTCTCACAGCCAAACCAGTGATTCAATCAAAATACTCATCACCAAAAAAATACAAAAATGTCTCAAACGCACATTATAAGATCGTATCTGTAGTTTCTCCTTTTAAGCCATTGAAGAGGTTTTAAAAACTGTTTTACACAGACCTGCATATGATATACTCAAAAAAATTCTTTTAAGCAACATTACAGTTCAAAGACGTATTGATGAAATGAGTCATGATGTTGAAAGTTACTTGTGTAATTATTTGCAAACAACATATTTCTCCATACAACTTGATGAGTCAACTTTACCTGATAATGAAGCACTATTATTAGCATATATTCGTTTTGTTATGGACCAAGAAATCCACGAAGAACTGCTCTTCGCTAGAACTTTGACTACAGACACAAGAAGTGAATCCATATTCAATGTTTTGAAAGATTATTTCACGGATAAAGCGATTCCTTTAACAAATATAATATCCGCAGCAACAGATGGTGCACCTGCCATGGTTGGGCGCTATCGTGGTTTTTTAAGTCATTTAAAACCCGTATACAAACATAAAACATATGTACCCGAGCTGTTTGCAATACACTGCGTCATCAATAGACAACATTTAGTTGCTAAAAATCTAAGTGCCAGATTACATAAATCTCTTCAATTAATCATAAACGCAGTGAACAAAATTCGGAGTAACACATTGAATTCTAGATTATTTGCTCAGTTATGTGAAAAAATAATGAACATTTTTATCAATCACTGCTTCACACTGAAATAAGGTGGCTATCGAAAGGATTATCTTTGACAAGATTTTTTTCACTTTTTGAGACTATTTTAGAGTTTTTGGATGATAAAGATCTTATATTAAAAGAACATTTTATCCAAAGAAAGCAAGACATTGCTTATTCAACATATCTATTTGCTAAATTGAATGAGGTTAACTTGCAGTTACAAGGCGATAATCTAAATTTAATAAAAACAAAACCAATCATTGTAGCTTTTCTGGTTAGAATTAATTTAATGATGCAAAACATTGGACGACGTGAATTTTCTCAGTTCCCTAAATTGTCACTTATGAACTGTCAAGATGATGACATTTCAGCTTACGTTCAACATTTAAATGTCCTTCACACTGACTTTAAAACCAGATTTGAGGATATTTTGACAAAGACAATACCACAATGGATTATTAATCCATACAGTGACATTGAAGAATCGGATATCGCATTACAAGAAGAACTGATCGGAATAAGTACAAACGAAGAACTTAAGGTACAATTTAGAAATGGGGAACAGCAATTTTGGCTTCATAGAGACATACCTGTTACTTATCCTACATTATGGAGTATCGCAAGAAAGTTTTTGATAGCTTTTCCATCATCATACTGCGTGGAAAAAGGTTTCGGCACAGTTGTCAATCTGCTTACAAAAAAAGAAATAGATTGGAAATCACTGATAGAGAAGATTTGAGGTTAAACCTGACTAATTTGAAGCCAAATATTGAAAATTTATTCTTAATCATCCTTCCCATTTAAAGATATATTTTTTTACACTAACCTTGATTCTTTTCTTTATTATTATATTTAATTTGCATTTGCTATCCTTTTAATTTCTAAAAAAATTATTTGAATATTGTCATTATTAAAGAAATAACGGTATTATTAAAAACAACATGTTTTTTATTTAAAAAAAATGCGTTCCATACTTAAGCCTATTTAGGTGAACAGTTCCGTGTAAGCTATAAAAAACACCTAAATGAATTTGTACAAATTCAATTTTAGGGGTCTACGAAAATAGAAAATATTGGCACGTGGTCTACGAGGAAAATAGTTTGGGAACCTCAGGTATTAACAAAACTTAGGAATGATCAGTTTTGACATTGCTAAGGCATATGATACAGCCTGGAGGCCAAGAATCATTTATAAGCTCAACAAAATATTAACCAAAGGAAACATGTTAAAATGCATAAACAACTTCCTCTGCAACCGTAACTTTCAGGCCAAAACCTCCAACTCGCTATCAAATTCATTTTTATAGGAATACGGTGTACCACAAGGCTCCATCATCTCAGTGGCGCTATTCTTAGTTGCAATTAACGATATCTCCGAAGGAGTGCATAACCTTAACATCCCTCTATTATATGCAGATGATCTTACCATAATTTGCCGCAGTTCCAACAGCAACACTATACAACAACTTCTGCAAGACTCAACCAACAAATTTACATCCTGGTCTAAAACGTCTGGCTTTCGATTCGCGTCGAATAAAATAAGCCTTATACTAATCAGCCGAAAAAATTAAAAGTTAATCATATCAATAAATATTGGAAATTACACCATCAAGAACAAACCTCAAATAAAAATATTTTTATTAAAAACATTAAATTTTATCTAGTTTAAATATTATCATAATGTTATTAAGTTTCTGTTTGGGAATAAAGTACAAAATATTTAATATATATATATTGAAAGTTACTTTAAAAATAGTAACTTTTAACTTTTGTTATTATTTCCTTCAAAATAAGTAATTTATATTTAAAGTTACAAATTACTCAAATTCGTAAGCTAAGTTTTTTTTTTGTTAGCATAACTCGTTAAACAAATTCAGGCAACATACCCGATTTTATTTTTTTTTAGGTGGTTTTTTTTTTTTCATTTAAATAAAATATAAGAGTATATTATAATTTGTATGATTATAGTAATTATTTTTATTACTTTTGTGGAACGATTATAAATTACTACATAACAATTTACTTATTATAGTAAAAAAACTATAAAGGTATTTAAACATTAATTAGTCATTGTGGAATTCCTTGAACACTGCGTCCGAAGCATTCACTCGAGATTCCGCCATGTCCGCCGTGGCTATCATTTTCGCTTCGGCCATGTCCGTCGCGGCTACCAATTCCGCCAATTCTGCTTCAGCCATTTCCGCCAAGTCCTCCGCCGTAATGGTCGCGTCGTCTGTACGCTTTACATTGGCTTCCGTTGCAGATGCGCCCGTACGCTTTTTTTCCACCTTTATTATACGCACTATGAACAATGTTCATGTTTACATAATCATTCGATGACGTGAGTACAATAACTCTGGATGTTTATATAAAGCTAGTTTTTAAATTAGGGGGGGGGGTGGAGTTCCTTCAATTTTTTAAATTTTTTTTCCACTTACTAATTTTTTTTTATTAGGACGAAAGAACGATACATTTATTTTTGTAAATAATGATATTTTTAAAGAACATGTTGTAATGTTATGCTCACATGACATAATATTATAGCTGTATAGTTATTTATTATTATATCATTACAAAAATGTAACTAAAAAATTCAAATATGGCCGAGTACTTGTAAATAATTTAATAAATCTAACGGATCGTTCGCTATTCGAGAGGGGTGCAAACTTATCTACAAGCAAAATAATTTAAATATGTGTCAAATATAACAGAACTGCATGCCATCTGTTGCTGCCCTTTGAGGACACTGCCGCCTCAGTCATACTATTGTATATTGTCTTCCTTTCACAATTCGAGTATTAATTATTTTATATCGACATTGACGCAATAGCCGTCTGTTCTATCTTTTGAAGCATACAAATTCCAGTGGTTTTCTATCATTCGAGAAAAATCATCATCCAATCAATTACCTTCATTCAGAACATTCAAATATAAGTCAAATAAAATTAAGCAATATATATACAACATCAATCGGCCCTTTGATGATACCGCCGTTCCGTCATCATTCTTTCGCACGATATACCATTACAATTATTTCAATACAAATTTTGAATCAACGCATAACACTATTTTTTTTTTATGGTTGACCTTTTTTTTGGCTAATTTAAACACATAAAATTTAACGGTTTTTTTTAATTGAAAATGAAGCGTCTTGATCCATCTAGAAACCCCAAGACGAACACTCTGTCGAGAATCCTACACACAGCAACAACTACGCTCGTGGTTGAAGAAAGCTCCATCTCTCTCGAATAGCTAGCTCCGACTTTTAGCAGCTATAATAATTACTCGTGTTCGATTTATTTATTAATTTAATTTGTAATTCAACCTTTTATTTTCCTAATTTAAAAATTAGCATTTTTTATCTGAGTGCGCATAGGTGTTAAGTGTTAATTAATTAAATTAAATTGTGATTGCCGTCCAACGACTCCAGGTTCACGTGAGGTTATCCATAAGTATACACCGTGGGCAGGTAATATAATTATATTTTTCTTTAGTTATTCATTTTGTCACCGTTCTCGGATTCACGACTCCGAAACCCTTTCAAACATAGGAAGGAAGGTAGTCATTCTTTGTAGTACCAAAACTTAGATCGATTGTTTCACACTATATAGGCACATTTTTATACCTACTCCTTTATATTTCATTCTTTGTAGGTATTTCTATGTGATTATCCTATAATTTCAAATATATTTGTCTTCTATTTCTATACTTATTGTCCTAAGTCTACTACTATCACCCTAACCACGACTCTCTCTTTATATTTTCCCCCGTTTAAACCTCTTTTAACTCTCCTCTTATTTGTCCCCCATCCTCTTTTTATTTACTTTCCTATTTTTTGTATTACTACAATGTGTTCAATTTTCGATCAGATATACAGTAAAACCCGTTTAAGACGCTTTTTTAGGGACCAGTTAAAAATAACGTATTAAACGATATATATTACATGTGAAAAACAAACTGTGACAAAAAAAAAAGGTATATCGCAGTATAAATTATTTTACTTATAATAACATTATTAATTACATTACCTACTTCAAAAAAAATCATTGAATTTTGTTTGTTTCACATTTTCATGTATTTGGAATAGAGGAAGTTCTCAATTTTATTATAATATAATTTAATGTAACGTTTCTTCAGCATTGTCAAAATATTTAATTGATTTTCTTAACTCATTAATATGATTAAGTGCATTTGTTACTAGAAGAATTGGTGTTGTTGTAACCTCTTCCTTGCTTTCTTCTTCTATAGAAGTTACATCAGCCGATGCAATTTTATCAGTAATTATCTAGTCAATGCTTCTAGTGTTACATGTGGTGACGTCCTCATCAATTTCTGCATATCCTGGAAACTCTTCCAATTTTTGAAAATCTTTGCTGCATGGCATAGTAATCACCCTCAACAAATTTTGTTTTCTCAAAAAAATGTTTAAATGGCATCAGTCGTAATTTCATCCCGTGCTGCTAAAAACGTTGTGTAATGCATCGAGTATGTACATTTTTATAGATATATTATTTTTCATAAAGCGTATTATCCAGAGTTAACTACATGATGCACGTTGTTAAAATCAAGAGACTCGTACAAATGAACGTATAAGACGTGAAATCGTCTTAAGCGAGAGCGTCTTAAACCGGTTTTAATGTACTTTTACCTATACTCTACTCCGAAAAATCCAGGAAAAATGTTCGCGCGGGTATGTCACGTAATCTGTCAGTAGCAACGATCAGGTTGTATACAATTGAATTTTCACCACACTCCGTGTACATGCGAGATGCATACAACGTTCTCCTCCGTGTATATATTATGCTCAAACCATTGTTATTATAATCGTTCTTATACATGGCGCCGAGCTTCGACCACCGATCGAACATGATGATTAACGGTGGGTGCCGATAACTGTAGCCAGTGGTACCCAAGGACAGCATACCTGCCTGCGCGGTTTTATTCAGACTTATTTGAAATAGAGTATATACAATATTGTAAATATTTTTCTTAAAATTCGAAAAAAAATCAGTTATATTATTTTTCATTTGTTATTTATTAATATAATTATATTTTTTGTGTTGTATTTTTGTCCTGTATGATATTAAATTGATTACCTAACTTAATTAATCTAGATAACCTAATTTAATCAAAATCTAACGATTATTAAGTTTTATGAAAACAAGAAATAGTTTATTTATTTTTTTAAATTTTATCTTCGAAGTATCCAATTCACGCTATTAGATAGTATATGTAACATATAGTTATAGTGTATAATATACTAAATTATAATAATCATATAGGTACCAACCAGATGCTTTGCGTTTCCTGACATTAGGCTTATGGTACACCCCGTCATCTGAAAAAAAAGATAATAAACATCATCTAAATAACCAAAACCTAAAGCGTAATGTAATATAAATAGGATCAAATATCTCAACGATAACAATTATTGAGTTTAAACTTGTTACCAAATATAACACAATACTGTCATATTTTAATTGATCATCAGATAATACAGCTAAAATACATAAAAAGGTATAAATCAATTATTTAGCAATGGACGAGACATTTTTGGGAAAATTAAACTTACATAAAATCTTAAAATATTTGTTTCTGTGTGGACAAAATTAGCATTATTAGAATACACACTTTGATAAAAGTAGGATAGTTACTTACAATAAATATAACTAGTTATCGGAGCGCTATTATAGCCGATTCCATCACAAGTTTCGTAAATGCCATTACCCATTTCAGCGCCACGACCACCATCGTTGACAGAATTTTGTCTGTTCATCTATTAATATAAAGGTACGTATAATTTAATTGTACATAATAAATACATATTGAATGAGAAATAAGTTCCCAAATCAAATCTTCATCAATGACACGGGGTAAGATCTAATATAGACATAAAGTATTTGTAAATTGTTCCCATAGAATTCAGATGTCGTTAATTTCGTAAAAAAAGTTTATAATATTTTTTATTTTTACCACAATCGTGCTCTCATAATTTATAATGCTATTAAAATAAAAAAATAAAAGAGCTGATACTGAGGGTGGGAGCGGTCACTGTTGTAGGTGAGAAGTTGGGAAGGTAGGATATATACGATTATTTCATTTATATCTGTAAGCAACGATAAACCATTGCTTGACGAAAAACGATTCCGAGTGCAGTTCGGTAATACATAATTTGAAGTACCTTCATTTTTTTACCATTTTCGTTCAAATTTGATTTCAAAACGCTTAATAAAAAAAAATTCGTCCGATGATTTTAGAAATTTTACCACGTCTAGGTAAGTCCAGTATAAGTATTATTACCAAGTTTCAAATCTATACGTGTATTTATAACTGAATTACAGCAAAAATTAAAATTCCTTAAAAGCTCAAAGTGGCTCAAAAGTTTTGGCAATGATATTAAAGTAAATCATAAAGGCTACAAAAAATTCATCTTATGATTTTTCGATTAAATAATTTTTTCTGGTAGAAAACGTCGTTCGTGTTTTTATAAAATAATGAAATCGTGAAATTGTACGTTATCCTAGGTTTTTCCTACTTAAGTGCATTTAATTAAAAAATGACTTTTTTTAAA